TAAGGCCTCTAATCGCCACAGAGGCAGCCTACAGTAGGGGTTGAGGATGTGAACTTCTTGGTTTGAATCCTGGTTCTACCATTTTCTAGTTGCATAACCTTGCACAAGTGAATTCAACACTCAGTTTCTTCATCTGTGAAATATTACTACTGCTATTATAGTAGTAATGTTACCTGCCTTACAGGGATGTTGGAGGTTACTGCATATAAAGTGCTTAGAACGTCTGTGCCTGGCTTAGCATAGTGTATTCACTTCTCAGTATGTTAGCTATTAGTATTATGGAGTTCACATTCTCATCGGGAGACAGATCATATCATACACACCTAAATACAGTACAATAAAGCCCTCTAATGGGGCTTTAAACAAAATACTGAAAGAGCTCTGATGAGATGAGTATCACTGGATTCATTGATCAGTTACACTGAATCTTCTTTGAAGTGGTAATCATGACTGACAAGAAGGTGGGACTCTCAATAGAACTGATCTCTAAGCTGGGACTTGAAGATTGAATTCACCAGTGAAAAAGGTGAAAGGAGTGGCCAGCAAGCTACAGCATTAGCAGCTAGCATGAGCAATGGCTCAGCAGTGTGTAAGTGGATGACCTGTCCAGGGACCAGCAAGTAGTGTGAAGATACGGCCAGAACGACAGGTCAGAGCCAGGGTTTGGCCATCATGGCAGCACTGGAGAGCAATGTGATCAAATCCATGCTTTACAAAAATAACTCAGCTATATCCTAGATGATTAAATACATAAAAGAGAGACTGCAAGCAGGGAGCCTGTTATGAAACTGTCATGGCAGCCTGAACTGGGACAGTGGCAGTGAGAATGGAGAGATATGGACAGAATTGAGAAGGACTTGGAGGGGGAATGGAAAGCACTTAGTGACCGAATAGATATGGGAGCAGAGGAAGGATGCAGGGATGACTCTGTATTCTAGCACAAAATTAAAAAAAAAAAAAGCAGGAAGAGAAGCAAGTTTGGGGAGAAAGATAATGAGTTCAGTGTTATAAATATTAAGTTTGGTTAACTGCAGGAAGACTATCAAGTGGGGGTGTTTAAAGTATAATTCTGGAGTGCAGGGCAGATCCATTCAGGATTGTCAGAAGGGAAAGTAAAGAAAAAGGGAGGAAATGGCACTTAAAAAACAATCCGTGTGTGTGTGTGTGTGTGGCCCAGCTGGGTCTGTGAACCACTGGCTTTCTTCACAGAATTAGAAAAAAACAACTTTAAATTTCATATGGAACCAAAAAAGAGCCCATATAGCCAAGACAATGCTAAGCAAAAAAAAAAAAAAAAAAAAACGAAAGCTGAAGGCCTCACGTTACCTGACTTCAAACTATACTATAAGACTACAGTAACCAAAACAGTATGGTACTGCTACCAAAATCGATATATAGACCAATGGAACACAACAGAGACCTCAGAAATAATGCCACACATCTGCAATCACCTGACCTTTGACAAACTTAACAAAAGCAAGCAATGGGGAAAGGATTCCCTACTTAATAAATGCTGTTCGGAAAGCTGGCTAGCCATATGCAGAAAACTGAAACTGGACCCTATCCTTATACCTTACACAAAAATTAACTCAAAATGGATTAAAGACTTCAATGTAAAACCTAAAACCATAAAAAACCTAGAAGAAAACCTAGGCAATACCATTCAGGACATAGGCATGGGCAAAGACTTCATGACTAAAACATCAAAAGCAACAGCAACAAAAGCCAAAATTGACAAATGGGATCTAATTAAATTAAAGAGCTTCTGCACAGCAAATGAAACTATCATCAGAGTGAACAGGCAACCGACAGAATGGGAGAAAAATTTTGCAAGCTATCCATCTGACAAAGGGCTAATATCCAGAATCTACTAGAAACCTAAACAAATTTACAAGAAACAAACAACCCCATCACAAAGTGTTGCCCAGGTTATGAACAGACACTTCTCAAAAGAAGACATTTACGTGGCCAACAAACATATTAAAAAAAAAAAAAAGAACTCATCATCACTGGTCTTTAGAGAAATGTCAATCAAGCCACAATGAGATACCATCTCATGCCAGTTAGAATGGCAATTATTAACAAGTCAGGAAACAACAGAATGCTGGAGAGGATGTGGAGAAATAGGAACGCTTTTACACTGTTACTAGGTGCTCTTTCTCCATTCATTCATCTACAGTTGTGGATCAAGATCTCTAGCCCTGCCTTGTCCCACTCTCAAACACTTCTGAGCTAATCCCATCTGGCAAACAACTAGTGAACTATTTCTACGATTGATGTGGTCAGTAGGAAACACAAGCTATGCCTAGAGCAACACAGAAAGGCCAAACACCAAGATTTATTTACCCTTGCTGTTTGCAAACCTGATGGTTTTAGTCAGGCTCTAGTATTACAGACTGAAATATAAGAAAATCCTGCACATGCTCAGAGAAGCTGTTGGCTTTGCCACAGTTCTACGCCTAAACATTATAATAATATTATTATTATCACACAGGGGTGTCACGAGGATTAATGAGACATTTTCAAATCACTTTGAGCTGCTCTGTTGGGGGTACTAAATAAATGGTATGTTTTCCTTTTAAAATGCCATTTTTGGCATTGATTTGTTGTGATGGGTTCGGCTATCCAACAGGGCTAGAATGAGCCCACCAACTCATTTCCTGTAGACAACAGACTAGCCGTGAGAAGGAGTGGTTTTCAGTTAAGATAAATATGAATTGAAGTGAACTAGTCAGCAATCAGAAGCAGATAGGCTGCTGTTAGAAATCTAGTATATTAAGTACTCACAGTGATCAACATAAGAGTTGCACAGTGCGATACAGTAGAGCAAACACTGGATTTGGAAATGGTCCAAGATTTTAGGCCCAGCTCTGCTGTTAACTAGCTATGTGAGCTCGAACAAATTGCTAAACTTCTCTGGGCCTCAAATATAAAGTAAGGGTTTTATATACGTCCTAAGAAGCTCATAATTAAAGTCTTCCAGACAAGGCAAATCCATGAAAGGAATGGAAATAGTCATTTCTGAAGGAAAGATATTTCACAGCTGGGAGAAGCTTGTGACCATTCATCACAGGACTAACCTCTGCTCTGGTCTTCCTTGCCATTGATTAATATTAATTTCAGTACTAATTCCTGCAAAAGAAGGAATAAATCACTTTCTAAGTTAGACATAGAAGTACATGAAACATCTGGTCTTTAAAAATAGGGTCTTTGCCTTTCCATGAGCTATCATTGCAGCAAGCAGTCTGTCTCATTCCAAGATTTAAATATACGAATGATTGATTATACTGCTACTCTAATCATCAGCTCAAAAAATGCAAAATAATGAGGTATGCAAAATAATGAGGTGGCTGTCATACGCCAATGTTCTGGAGTTTTGTAAGAAAGAAAGTTTTACGTGGTTGCCTAGTTTTGCCATCTCACAACAGAAGTAGCTGTTTGCATGGCCTGGCACTGATCAGGAGGTGAAACAGAAGAAGATGGACAGTGAAAGTACATAGGTGCCTGTTGTGCCCAGGAGAGCCAGGAGTGGAAGTCCTATGGAATAAATGAGCAGTGTTTTCTACGGTGAATTCTGTTTCTCCTCACTCCTCGTCTTAGGAATCCCAATAGGATCCTGGGCTCAAAAAGAAGAAATGTTGACCCTCCAGAGCAGATAGCAGTGCAAAGAGCCACTCCTTGGGAAATTCAATTCAACAAATATGAACTGATCCCCACTATTTACAAGGCACTTTAGTAGATACTAGCAGTATAAATTGGCTAGGACCTATTCTGAGCCCTAGAGAACCCTATGGTTGGGAGTGGTGGTGGGAAGTATTGACCACAAATCACTTACTTCAAATTGAATTGTCAGCGAACTTCGGGTGGGTGAGGAGCTGTCTAGACAACAGTTCCTCTTCTGTAAATGATTTGAATGATACAATAAAAAAAACAGACTCTTTAAAGCCTAGGGTTAGCTTATATTAGATTGTTAAAATTTCTGGAAACAATTGTGTTCAAAGTAACCACAACAATTTGGAAAAATACGTTTAAAGAAGATACATGTAAGTTATCTCTGGGCCCAGATCCAGCAAGAGGTACAAGTTGCAGAATGAATGTCCTCCCAGTTTAACGACTAGAGCCTGACAAATTCCCTACCACAAGGGCAGTGCCGAAATATTAAGTAAAAAGTCTAGGTACAGGTCCTGCTCTCATCCCTTCCACGACACATTTGAGTCATAAAGTCGGACTTTCTAACCACACGACTTAGACTATGTGAATTTCCTTTCCCATTTCATCTCACTTCCCCGCCGATAGGAAGTCTATGTAGTGTATAAAGCCCAGGCTGTCACTGCTAATCCCAATCAGAAACTTGGTCCTTGATTCTTCCCAGTGGCCGAAATCTCCGCTGCAAAAATGGGTGTGAACTATTCACTAAAGCGGCAGGACCTGAAGGCCTTTAACGATCCATTTCCCTCGGACTCAGTTGGCGAAGCCCATCAGCACCCTTACTGCGCTTGGCTTCTCATCCTAGCAGGAGCTAAACTGTTAAGACCCCCACTCCTTCCAGGCCTGGCGGTTCTCGACCCTCAAGTGAGCCTGGGACGCCCGTGTCAGGCTTGCCTCTGGCCCAGGGCGCCCGCCTGGCCTGCACTCCCTTCCTGGACACCGGGCCCGCCTGCCCATCCCCGGCTGGCCCGGGGGGGAGTGTGGAGGCCAGGGGGCCGGCGCCCGCGGGGCCGCGGCAGGAGCTCCTGGCGACTGGGACGCGGCCACGCGGGCCGGGGGCGAGGGACGCGGACCAGAAGCAGGCGGAGCCCAGGGGCCGGGGTCGGCAGCCGGACTCCCCGTGGGCCGGTTCCGCTGGGTGGGCGTTCCCGCGGGGCGCCGAGGTGCAACATGAGGGCGCTTCGCTGACACCGAGGGTCCGAGAGAGCGGTAAGAAGGGCAGGCCCGGCGGCTCTCTCCGGTCGCGGGGCGCGCACCCGCGCGGTGGGCGGGAATCCTGAAGGGACGCGGAGGCGGGCGCGCGCCCCGCGGGGGAGTGGGCGGGGAACGCGAGGCGGAGGGAGGAGGCGTCTCTGTGCGGGAGCCCGGCGGACCGCGCCAGACCCTGACGGAGCCTCGCGGCTGCTGCTGCAACAGGCGGCGGGCTCCGCTCGGGGGCGGAGGCGGCGAGGGGGCGGGGAGCGCGAGGAGGAGCGACCGGGCCCCGCCGCCGCCGCCTCTTCCCCGCCGCATGGACGAGCACCTCAGCCTTCTGCGCTCGCCGCCGCTGCCCTCCGCCCGCCACCGCGCCCACCCTCCCCAGCGCCCCGCGAGCGGTGGCGGCGCTCACACGCTGGTGAACCCCGGCTACTCCGAGCCCGCCGCAGGCCCCGAGCTGCCGCCCGACATGACCGTGGTGCCCGGGGACCACCTGCTGGAGCCGGAGGCGGCCGACGGTGGAGGGACCCCGCCTCAGGGCGGCTGTGGCGGCGGCGGCTGCGACCGCTACGAGCCGCTGCCGCCCTCGCTGCCGGCCGCGGGCGAGCAGGACTGCTGCGGGGAGCGCGTGGTCATCAACATCTCGGGGCTGCGCTTCGAGACGCAGCTGAAGACCCTCTGCCAGTTCCCCGAGACGCTGCTGGGCGACCCCAAGCGGCGCATGAGGTACTTCGACCCGCTCCGCAACGAGTACTTCTTCGACCGCAACCGGCCCAGCTTCGACGCCATCCTCTACTACTATCAGTCCGGGGGCCGCATCCGCCGGCCCGTCAACGTGCCCATCGACATCTTCTCCGAGGAGATCCGCTTCTACCAGCTGGGCGAGGAGGCCATGGAGAAGTTCCGCGAGGACGAGGGCTTCCTGCGGGAGGAGGAGCGGCCCCTGCCCCGCCGCGACTTCCAGCGCCAGGTGTGGCTGCTCTTTGAGTACCCCGAGAGCTCCGGGCCGGCCCGGGGCATCGCCATCGTGTCCGTGCTGGTCATCCTCATCTCCATCGTCATCTTCTGCCTGGAGACACTGCCGGAGTTCCGCGACGAGAAGGACTACCCCTCCTCGCCGTCGCAGGACGCGTTCGATGCAGCCGGCAACAGCACGTCGGGGGCCTCTGGGGGAGCCTCCAGCTTCTCCGATCCCTTCTTCGTGGTGGAGACCCTGTGCATCATCTGGTTCTCCTTCGAGCTGTTGGTGCGGTTCTTCGCCTGTCCTAGCAAAGCCACCTTTTCGCGAAACATCATGAACTTGATTGACATTGTGGCCATCATCCCTTATTTTATCACTCTGGGTACCGAGCTGGCCGAGCGACAGGGCAACGGACAGCAGGCTATGTCCCTGGCCATCCTGAGGGTCATCCGCCTGGTGAGGGTCTTCCGCATCTTCAAGCTCTCGCGCCACTCCAAGGGGCTGCAGATCCTCGGGCAAACGCTGAAGGCGTCCATGCGAGAGTTGGGGTTGCTCATCTTCTTCCTCTTTATTGGGGTCATCCTTTTCTCCAGCGCGGTCTACTTTGCCGAGGCAGACGACCCCACCTCAGGTTTCAGCAGCATCCCGGATGCCTTCTGGTGGGCAGTGGTAACCATGACAACAGTGGGTTATGGCGATATGCACCCAGTGACCATAGGGGGCAAGATTGTGGGATCTCTCTGTGCCATCGCCGGTGTCTTGACCATCGCATTGCCAGTTCCCGTGATTGTTTCCAACTTCAATTACTTCTACCACCGGGAGACGGAAGGGGAAGAGCAAGCCCAGTACCTGCACGTAGGAAGTTGCCAGCACCTCTCCTCTTCGGCCGAGGAGCTCCGAAAAGCAAGGAGTAACTCGACTCTGAGTAAGTCGGAGTATATGGTGATCGAAGAGGGGGGTATGAACCATAGCGCTTTCCCCCAGACCCCTTTCAAAACCGGCAATTCCACTGCCACCTGCACCACGAACAATAATCCCAACTCCTGTGTCAACATCAAAAAGATATTCACCGATGTTTAATATATAATACAAGTGACATGCTGTGCTCAGTATTGTGTGGAACGTGCCCCCTTGGTCTGCCTGTGCCCTTGTTTTATACATTTCCAGACCATTCATCAAGGAAAGGACCTGAATAAGTGGGAAGCACACTTCATTCTCCCTCTACCTACTGCTTCATACTGAAACAGGTGCCTGTTTTGCAAGTGGGCTGCATTCTCTCAGCTCTCCTTTTTCCCCTTACCCTCTCTCTCTCTCTCTCAATATTGTAAACAACAAACTTACATTAAACTTCATTTCTAGTACACGCCCTATTTAAAAAAAAAAAAAAAAAAAAGCAGTACATCCTGGGAGGAAATGAAACTAAAGAACAGAGTAACTGTTTAACCTCAGAATTTTAAAGGCAGTTGTTTCGTTCCTAAGCACATGAGTTTGTAGTAAATGATACTTCAGTTTGATGGACTTTTCAACATTGTTTACTGAATAAGTATTTCGATTGCCTACCCTGTAGATATGTGGATGAAGAATCTAACTAGAATAATGACTTGTAAACCCACCACGAGTTTATTTGGTTTTTCCCAGAATTTTAAGGGTCTCTCCAACTTTGAATGAAGGGAAATGCCCAAGATGTCCTGATCTGACTAATTAGTTTAATTCTTTCGGGCTTGCTAAGCATTTCTAAAGCATTAGACTAACACAGTCCTGTGAAGTTCTGTGCATATGTCCCAGCCTCAACATCTATCAAAGTCTAGAAACAGATGTTTTCAGTGCTGCTGAGAGAAACAAAAAATTTCCTAATGCATCTGAGAGATAAGCTTCGGCAGTATCACAAGAAGATTAAAGTGGCAGACACCCCTTCCAGCGGAAGTTACTAATTCGGACCTGACTGATGCAGTTCCCATAGCAACCCATGTTTCCTGGGAAACCCGAAAAAGGTTGTCATGGCATCTATTGCTCTCTAGCCCCACCTTCCAGTCCCTGCTGTTTCCACAGTAACCTTTCCAGATGGTTCCTACTTAAATGATTTCATAAAGGAAAACCACTGTTTGAATAAACTGCACAAATAAAGTTAAGCCTGAGACTCTAAGGAGGTGAAATGAATCCCAAATGCATTTTTTAACTATGAAAATCATTGATGTTATCCCATAATAACTGAATCAAGAAGGAAAATATGATGTTCGGAATGTTAGATATTAACCACAATAAGGCATGATCTGGATTAAGTCCCATTTATTAGGCAATAATTTTTAAAGATGCTTCTCTACAGTTTTTTTTCTCCAAGAACTTTCAAGCCAACAAATGGAATTTAAAAGCAAATGTAAAAGTGTTCTGTACATAAGCAAATGAGAGATACAATCAGTGTACCTGAAACCTTACAACAAAGGATCTTCAGGCTTTCTCTTTAAAAAAAAAAAAAAAATTTAGATCCCACAACAGCTCTGTCATCATCACAGCACTCGACAAGCTAAGTAAACTTCAAATAGATGAAGGATGCACGTTTTAAACTGAATGCATTGCAGACAATCAATAAAAAGGAGGGACAGGAAGTAACCAGCTCTTGGGAGAATACTTGCAACTTTCAACCATATGCCAAGGGTTGCCAGAAGACAGACAGAATCAGGTGAGCACTATGTGATCTACTGGGAGCAGTCCCTTTTGTATCCAGAGCCAGGGAACTGTCATTAATATCTAGATTGATGATATTTGCAAAACCAATAGTTTTATGTTACATGCTTGGCGTCTTTTTAAAGATAATTTACACCTTTTTCATCTGATTTCCATGCTGCTAACTGCCCTTTGGTTTCCATTGTTTATTACAAAAAAAATGAAAAACCAGTCATTGCTGTTCAGAATAACCTTCACCCAAGCAGAACTGAAAATTATTCCATTCCTTTTACTAACCCACTTGGCCTCCAATCAACCTGTTTCCCCTTACAAAAGGATAAATGGCAGAATCTACTGCTGTTAGATTATTGGTCCAATTTTAATTTACATAATTATTTAATAGTACACAGTGGTACAGTTCTTTCAAACAAAAAATGGTTAAAAATAAGAGTAACATTTAAACATAATCGTTTTGTTTCATATACAGTATATAAATTATACATCATCCACAATTGCCTTTTGGTTTTGATAGCATGTAACTATTCTATCCTTCCAGAGTAAATTAGAGTAACCCTATTTTTAAAGCCCATGAAGTATTTTCAGTTAGGAGCTCATTTATTATGCATGCGTTGAAGAGAGTGGAAAATAATGACTGAGACTGCAAGGGAGTGATGAGGAAGGAAAACACCAAACAAACAGAGGCAAGAAATCTAAATATACCTGATCATTGATTAGTTGTTTGTTTTTATCTATGTACATCTAAATATGACTCTATTATCTAGTTTTCTTTGCTTTTTGTTTGAGTTAACCTTTGACATTGATCTATCTCTTGACCAAACTTTTGGTACCCTTAATGACCAGAAATTATTTTTATGACACATTTTGAAAATATGTTAGATACATTATAACAATTACATAAAAATAATTTTTGTATCTGTTCTTAAAATAACACAGAGGTCAATGAAGTGCAGTGACAAGTTTAGTCACATTTATTCTGAAGATGCAGAAACATTGATTAATTCTATAAGTAAATTATGGTCGTGCCATAATTCTTATGGTTATTAACTAGCAGTAATTTAAAGGGGACCTTTGTTCTTTAATCCAGAGAAATATCCTGGCTTTTGAGCCATAACTTTGAGGTAATATGATTGCTTGTAGTCACCACATTGTAAGTTCCCTAAAGGCTATAGGCTCTGTGTCTTGAAAGTTTTGGGTACTAGTGCCTAGCACAGAATGTGGCACCTTTTATATTTGTTGAGTTAATAGCTGTTATCTTACATGACTGCTGTTATTTCCAGGCTTTTATTGAAGTGGTTAAAAGCATAAGCTCTGCAGTCATATTGCCAGGGTTTGAATCTTGACTCTGCTCTATGATCTTGAGCAAATTACTCTCTGTGCCTCTGTTTCTTTGTTTGTAAAATGAGGGTGATAAATAGTACCTCATAGGTTTGTTGTGAACAGTAAATGTTAATACAGGTACAACACTTAGAAAAAATAATTTCATGACATGGCATCAGAGCTTTTGTTAAGAGATTATGTTGGGATCATTATTCACAAGCATTGTGTAATTAATACAATGCTTCGTGAATATGAAATATATAATCAATGTCTTCCTATTTCCTTTCAATAATAATAATAATTACCATTCATTAAGGGTCAACCATGTCCTGGACACTTGTCAACTCTGCAATAAGTGCTATTAACCTCATTTTAGGAGGGCAAAAAATAGATGATTAAAGTTAAGTGATTTCTCTAAGAGTTCACGGCTCGCAGGAGACTCAGCAATGATTTAAAGCCAGGTTATTCTGGCTCTGAAACACATCCTACTTTTATTAGGTGACTTGAAAGACAAAAAATAAATCTCTTACGCTCTTAGTCTTGGCTTCAGCCCATGTCACTAATTAATGAGTTGAGGTAGATAACATATCTCCAGAAATCTGTTTCATTTCAGTATACAGAAAATTAACCTGTTTAAAATATCGGATATTTTAACCAAATATAAGGATCAAATATAAGTTACTTAAATCAGATGAAGAGATGGACTTTTCTAATAACAAAAGATTATTTTATTATGGTTGTGTTTAATGATAACTGCTAGGACAATAGATATTTTTCAGTTTTAAGATTTTTTGTTTTCATGTGTTTTAATCAACAATAGTGAGAGCATTATGCAAATTATTTTTCTATTGCCTTATACTTTGCTTAAGTTACTGAAGAACCATTCCAGAAAGCCATGTAAATATTTTGACTCTCCCTTATTAAGAGGGAAGAAATTATTCAGAACAGAAGTATTAAAAGCAAAAAGAGATTGCCAGTTCATTGAAACTTGTGACAGTATTGCCTTACCTAACCACTCCAAGGATCTTTAAGGGCATCTGTGCTCTAAAATAAATAAATAAATAAAAATATAATTTTTCTGACATAATAGCTGCAGACCTTTCTCTAAGTTCTTAAATCATTTATGAAATAAAAATGGATAGTGACTTGGGCTTAAAGCAAAATACTAATGAGTCTATGTTTTCATATGCCACCTAGCTTTGCCAAACTACACGCTTCACTGTTGAGGTCAGTTGCATGTCTTAGGTGTTAAAGAAATATACATATGTCTATGTATAGCAAGAGATTCATGTTAGGAGGCATGACTGGAGCAGTGCACATCCATCAACACCCTGGGAAAAAATGTATATGCCCTACAGCTAATGAATCCAGATGAAACACAGAAGTTAACATTGTTATTATTTTATTTCTTTTATGATGTTTTAAGACTATATGATGCACCAATTATGGTGACATAACCACAGGCACCTACACATAGGAGGAAGCATTATGTCAGTTATTTCTAAACTTTGAAATAAAAATTTAGTATTGAAATTTTAAATGCACAGTATGAAGAGATTTAAAGTTATGGTTTGTTGGCATAAAACTTATTTACCTTTTTGGCATATAACATACTCAAGCATTTGCTTTGCTATAGTATGTAAATACAATGTATATAATATATACTAGTAGTCTATTCCTTTGAGAACCATAACTATAATTTACTGACTTCTATACATTTAAAATTTCAACATTTTCTACAGCAGTTCCAAGTCCTTCCTACCTCTCAGCTGTGAATAGAAGTGATAACCCTTCCCACTAAGAAATGCAAGGAAGCACACGTGTCCCATAATCTGAAGACTTATGGAAACACTGTGAGATAGAGGTGAGGAGCATAAGAATGTGGAAGAGAATATTTAGGGATTGCATTTTTAAGGTGGGAGCTTCTTTTTTCTGTTTTGTATTAGGCCTTTTAAACTAAGGATACAATTACTGATTTTTGTACTATTCCTTATGGTTTTGGGGACAATTTTATATATATATTAGTGAAATCACTTGTTTTTTATATACCTTTAGGAAGTGGTTGATAACCTTTGAGCAAAAGTAAATCAAAGAATGCAGGAAAAAGAGAGCAGAAACCAATCAGAGCCTAGACCTTATTATTGTGACTCAACTCTTAACTTTCCGGCAGAAAATGGCCATTGCTGTATAGCATATCATAATAGTATTCTTTATGTACTCATATTCAGTTTGCAAGTGTAATTTAAATGATAAGACTAGTTAGAAAGCTTTCAGATGTTTATCTTGGTATTTAATGATGTTGTGAGCTAATTTTCAAAATTGTGAAGAAAAATGCATTTTAAAAAGAAACATTTTCATGATTTTTCTGGGTTTTTTTGTACCAGATGTTTTTTCTTTTATTTCAAAATTTACACCATTAGCCATCAAATGCATTTTAAGAAGAGAACTAGAAAAGCGGCTCCATCATTTTCTTGGGAGCCATGTTGTTATTGTTGTAACCTAAACAGTGTGGAATAGGAACTCTGCCCTAAAAAATAAAGCCTGGGATTCTAGTTGTTAGCAATGCAGCACTTAAGTGGAGAAAAAGCTATATTTCATCGTATCTGAAGAATGTTATGAATAAATTTGATCATACAAGACTGACTTTGCAGATACAAGAGTCATACCTTCCAAAATGGTGATAGTGATTGGGGAGAAGCTTTTTCTCTTCCAGTGAGCTTCCAACCTCACACCCACTCCTAATCTCATAGCACAAAGACTCTTGGGAATCTCTTTGGAGGCCCCCACCAACTTTTTAGAATGAAAGTTAGCATTGTGCCTACATGTTTTATATCACACAGCACTGTTATTTCATTTGTCTTCCATTACATTTATTTTAAACTCCCGTTCATTATGGAAGTCCCTCTGAATATTAACGTTCTTATTTTTATACATTTAAACATATTCTGTAAATTAAAACATACTTAATTTGGAAGAGAAGCAGTGGGGACAATTTATTACACACACACACACTCACACACACACAAACACACACACACTACACACAAACACCTCACCTGTTCATAGATTACTTCCAATCCTGCAATACAATTTACTTTCTATCTATAGATCTAAATGATCTTTTTTTTTCTGAAAACTAGTGAATTTCCAAAATATTGGTTCTGATTCCATATGTGCAGCATCAATATTTACAAATCATTTTTCTTGTTTTCCAGGCTTACTTAAAACACAGGTGTATTGCCTAGTGTTTTCAGTGTCTTTATTAATGAAATAATATTCATAGAAATAGTAAATATACTCAACCTATGACCAAATTTTGTCATTTAGCCTCCCAAATATCTCTAAAAACAGCCCACTTTGCTATGGAACTGCTAGGACGACTCTAATCCACACTGTCATCTCTATCCTATGTAAGTGTGAAGGTCTCTTAATGGCATCCTTACATTTCCTGTGGCCACTCTTTGACCTTTTCTCTACCTGATAGCCAGAATGATCTTTTTGAGACCAAAATCTGATTACATAACCCATCCTGCTTAAAATTCTTTCAGGGTCTTCTTGTTTTTAGGATAGAGCCCCAAAGGCTTAGTATAGCCTTTATGGCCCCACATAATTTCATATTCAGCCTTATCTCCTCTTTGTTTATGTTTCTCCCCTCATTCTTTTGTGCTCCAGTTATTCTGGTCTTCTTCCAGATACAGGATAAACTCCCTTTTCTCCTTAAGCTAATGGAGATCTTTGCAAATGTTTCACTGCCAGCCTCCTCTTTCTTGCCTCACCTCTTGACTTCTATTTTTACTTCAATACTTCTCCAGAGCATCTCTCATGACTCTAGTTTTTTCAGTTATCCTATTACAGTATAGTAGTTCATTAAATTTAAGATGCCCTTGATTATAAGAAATACCATTATTTATGTACTATTTTTTTAAATTTCCAATTGTTAGGATAAAGTACCAGTGACTTTAAGGTGCATCCCAATTTCATAGATGCTCAAATCTAAAAACGCGTGTCTTAGAATGTGTTAAATATAGTATGTGAGCTTGACATAGCTGTAATTTTATATTAATTTGTGTTATATGATCAATTTCTGTTTCTTCCACGAGAGTGGGGACTATATCTCTCTTTGTTCACCACTGAATCCCTTCCCACTCTCTCCTGAGTCTGCTCCAAAAGGCTGTCACATCTATCACTCTGCCAAAAGTGTACTTGGCAAGGTCACTGGTGACCTCATATAATGATACGCAGTGGGCCTTTCTCAGTTCTGATTTCAATTTGGCCTATCAGATGCATTTGGCATGGTCGGGTACTTCCCCCTTTCTAAGAAGACTGTCTTTATTTGACTTCCAAGATATCACACTGTGGATTTTTTTTCTACCTCTCTGGTCTCTCCTTCTTAATCTATTTACTGGTTCTTTCCCATCTGTTCGTTTTTCATCCCATCTTATTCTCATAGTTTTAGACTATCTATGTATGTTAATTTGTATCTTCTACATAGACTTCTCCCTTGAGCTCCTAATTGAATTTTTCACCCATCTATGTGGCATCTCCACTTGGATATCTAATAGACATCTCAAACTTAATATGTCCAAACTGAATTTCCCTCCTTCTCCACTCTCTATACCATCAAGCCTGTACTTCCTGCCCTCTTCCCCACCTCCACTACTGGCAGCGTCAATTTTCCAGTTGCTCAAGCTAAAATCCTTGGAATTATCCTGGATTCTTCTTTTTCTCTTACATTCCTTATTTAATCTACTGGCAAATACTGTCGATGCTACCTTTAAAATGTTTCAAGAGCCTTACCACTTCATAACACTTCTACTTGATCTAAACCATCATTATCTTCACCTGGATTTTTACAGTAGCTTCCCGATTGGTCTTCCAGTTTCCATCCTTCCTCTTATTTGAGTCTATTCTCAACATAACAACCAGAGTGCTTCTTTTAAAACACTTATCAAGTTGTGTTACATCTTTGTGTCAAGACCACCATTTGGCACCCCATTTTACACAGAGTACTAACTAAAGGCTTTTTTACAATGGCCTGTAAGGCCCTGTCTCATTTTGCCCTCCTTACCCTTTTGACCTAATTTTCAACTCCTCTCCCACTTGATCCTGTGCTGCAGCCAAACTGGCCACCTTGATCTTCTTAGATTGCACCAGGCATGCTCCACCTTGGGGTCTTTGTATTTGTTGTTCCCCCTGCCTGAAATGTTCTAGCATCTGATATCTGCATGACTGCCTCCATCACCTCCTTCAGGTGTCACTAGCCACAGTATTTAAAATTGCAGCCTCATAACACTCTCTATATCTTTTCTCTGGTTAATTTTTCGTCTAATGTATTAAGTATTTGGTTTATTTTGTTTATTGTCTGTTTTGCATTCCCTTCCATGAGGACAAGGAGTTTTGTCTGCTCAGTGTGCTGTATCACCCAAAAGCTGGCATAGTACCTGAAATACAGTTGCTGCTCCATAAGTGTCTATTGGAAGGAGAGATGAGAGGAAGGAAATTGCATTCCAAATTGAGGTGTTTTTAACCTGTAAACAAAATTTTCATGTCACGCATCTCTACCTCATGTAATCACTATGTGGCTTACTCTCCTCATCGTGCTCTGAAGGACAATATTCCTTGTAATCAATTTACTGGAGAGGGCTTAAATTTGTTAAAACATGCCCCAGCAAGTTTTCCACAAGAAGTATTATACCACCCAAGTATGGGGATGGAATCCCTTAATGTAAGTAACTTAACTGTTACCTTATATGAGATATCACTGAAGGTACCTAGTCACTAAGGATACCTGGAAGTTAGAATGCTTCACGAAGACCATGTTTTTATCCTACATAATAGCTAAAGAGTGTTTTTCATTAGGGATAGCATAAACATGTTGACTAATTGACCAGGATGACACAGCAAAATCAGAACAAACAAGTGATATCTCCAGAGGGCTTATCTGTCTATCAGACATTCTAAGAAACTTCCCTATAAGTTCAGTCTCAGTTTCAGTTAATGATGAGTCCTAAAAATCCATGGAGTCTTCATTACTATGGAAGCTGATTGAATCAAACATTATATTTCACTAGTGAATCACATTACAGAATTACATCACTGTAGATATGGCCTGATTGGATATCTTTTGCAAAATAACCTAATTTTAAATGTAATTATCACTACCTCTTAAAATTATGACATTTAAAAGTTAGCTATTTTTTGAAGTGACTGTTCATACATGAAAGGAGATGGGGACATTTAATTAATGAAAAGTAGGAGCAGATTCTTAGAGTAATATTTATAAAATGTTAAAACTTAGACTGTTTCTAAATAATAAGATGGAAGGTGAAGGCAATCCAGTAGCTTTTGGTTCTTAGTTTTGGGATATTCCTAACACCATTGAAATATCAACACATATAGTATGGAATTACTGAAACTAATTAAAGCATTGATATGACCACTGCAGATATTTCCATGATTTTATGTAATATTGTAACCAAGGTACTTTCCTCTGCAGTAGGAAACAAAGATTCTCCTAATAAGAATAGAGAGGAATTTTCTCTGCACCCCTTTTGAATTTTCTCCTTTCCCTGGATTTATCAGGCAAACCAGACCAGAGAATGACCTGATTGTTGCCTCTGCATATCCAAGTGGCACAATTTCCTTACCAAACATGTCAACAAATTTAAAACTGACGTATATGACTGAATTTACATATGTAGAAATTAGAAATTAGAAACTGTTTTCTCCTTACACCACTTTATACAGTTAAGCTCACATAGGATAAAGATCATTTTCTGTCTGAGAAAAATGTTGTTAGGGATCGTTAAAGAAATGACACAAAATGTATTATTGAAATCTGTTTTTATTTTTTTCTGGTTTTGGATGAAAGATTGTGACATTGTTTATTTTTGTGATTTAAATAAATATGAGTTTTACTTGATTTTCTATTATAACCTTGTTTAGTCAATGTGTTAGACATTTAAGAGGCAGCCTTATGTGCCATTACATTTTGTATTTACCTCATGTCTGATTACAGAACAATAAAATATCAGATAGTCATGAATACATTTCTTCTATAAGAAATTATTATGAAAAGTATAAACAAGAGTGACTATGTGTTAGACTTCTAAAGAGCAAAATTTATTGGATAACCAAAAAGTACAGACAGAAATAATTTCTCCAAGGAAGAACTGTTTGAATTGCTTTATACCTGGATTCTGTAGACCTTTTACCTGCGGCCTTTTAACTGATTTCAGAAGATCATTTTACTATGTGACCATAAAAATTGAGGATATTTATTATTAGTAGACCTAACTACTGTTCAAAGTAGTATCAATTTTACCTTAAGGCTCATTTTCCCGTGACTTTCTAGATTTTTTTAAAAGCTCATATCTTACCATATTACTGACTTTACTCACTGAGATTAAAGGTTTTTCCTTGCTAAGAGTACATAATTTTCAAGACCTCAATCAGAAAATCATATATAATTGAGTAAGAAATCTTTCCAGTCCTTGAGCTTATTCATTACCATTTACTTGGTAAAACTGGTAAAACTTAGTATATAACTAATTCTAAGTAATTTAATAGATGTCAAACTATATAAACACATAAAAACAAAGTTCCCATAAAAATACATGCTATAGAATGCCTTCAGCTCTTTTCTCATCAAATATAAGTTAATGAGACTAAAAGTAAAGCTAGGTTTCTGTACCTCTTTCCTTTAGGCCTTTTGGAGGTATTAATTACTTCTTTATAAATTTGATGATTATTGAAATTTGACCATTCTTACTCTCTTTTCTTCTTCTATATGTTAGAACATTTATTTGGTAAATTATCTTCAATTATAGGTCACTGTTTTCTATTGTACCTCCTTTTTCTCTTTTTATAGAATTGATTTTGATACTTAATGTCCATTCTTCTAAGCCTTTCAACCCACATCTTAACCACTAGTATAGATATTATGATTATTATCCTGATATCACTTTTATTTTTGTTTCTGTTGAATTACAACTCCCTCTAACACCTATACTTTATTAGGATGCCATCCTGTACCATTCTTATTTAATAATCTCAAGAGCCTTCAGAGGCAGGTATTAATAATACATAAGGGTTTTTTTTAAGGCCCAACCTTTTATATGAAAAGAATACAACAGCAGCAAGACAAGAACAGCTTAATGGAGACCTCTGAAAGTAAGCAAAGCTGCAATAGCATTGAGCAGAGCCTAGGCACTTAGGAAATAAAATGAATGCTAGGTCATTAATGTGACTTTTGATTTCTTATAATTAGTAGTCATTAATAACTATATAACTTTAAAACTCTGATAGTGAAAATTAAGCATACTATGAACATACTCTCTTTTTACCTAAACATCAATATGAAGACTTAAACTCACTGATGGGCAGTGATCTATCTGCGAAATCAAGGTGACCAAGTATTTAATCAAGGACAATAAGAAAAAATTTTAAATAGATAGATAATTGATTGCCCAGCACACAGTAGGCATACAGTATTTAATTTAGCAAGTGAATGATTCTTCCATCAAAAGCATACTCAAATTTCAAAGCACCATCTTTGGGCATTTACCACAAGTTTTGGGCATGTGCTAAAACCAGGAGTATATATGGGAAATAGTCTTCTCTATATATTATGATGGATGATATTAACATAATCAAATACAGAGCTGAGTTTATAACATCTTTTATTTTTCTCTTTATAATTTCTGTCTTTATATTATATAGTCAGTAAATTGTTAGAGTATATAAATCTAATTTTTATATATCCATTTATTCATTCAATATGTATTTACTGAGTACCTCCTATGTGTCAGACACTACCCAGGGTGACAGAGGTTTATTCATTCATGAAGCATATAAAGCATGTACTGTAGTATGAATAGTATAGAATGCCAAACACCATTCTAGATTCTGGATGTAGAAAGTAAATAAGACTTTCATATTGTTTTGGCTCTTTTTAAGAAGTATTTTGCTATCAGAATTTCTCAATAATTATTTTGGCAGTTAGGAGAGAGAAGCACCATAGCTTTAACCTTTGTTTCTTGATTCTCCATAGACCCTGTGAAGTGGTTATTATTGTCTTAATTTGGGATATTTTGAGTGGTATATAACTATGGAGAGTTCATATTTTAAAGAATCAACAGATTTAAAAGTTATTTGTAATGAAGAGATAAATGATAAGAATGACATCCTGTTAGCACATAGACCATGGTTTTCTCAGCACTCATTTGGAGACTCTCTCCCTCTCTCTCTCTCTCTGTTTTTCTCTCCATGACACTTAGCATTGGATTTTTATTTCAGGAGTTCTCATAGATTACCACAGTAGGATGGACAGCCAGAAAAAAAAGTTCTTGGAAATACACTGAGAAAATTAATACATACATTTTTCTAAAAATCAATAGGTACTCAGAACTTTTCAGATGATTCGAAGAATGAAGATAAATTTTCTGTCTAAAAGCAAACTATCACACCGGTTTGGACTAAATTTCGAGGTCATTATTAGTAGAAAAAAGTTTATAATTTTAAGTTACAAATTAAAAGAAATACACAGTTAATACATTTAGACAATTCAATTGCCTGAACTTTTCAGGGTAACAGTTTTTTTAAAAGCCAGAATTTTAAAAAATATAAATGGAACATTTTCTGTTGACATAAACTTTATAGTTTTTTTAAGTTAAATATATCAGTAAATTATTGTGTTTACTCTGTCTGACAGATCCCTGAAGAGACCCCCACATAAAGAACTGTAGAGCTGCACTGACCCGTAGGATGCTCCATTTTAAATTGCCTGGATCAAGAATGCAGTGGCAATTATATCACTGATGGGCAGTGATGCACCTGACAGCACATATTTTTATTTCAGTTGACATTAAATAATATGTCTCTAACAAATGCTTTATAGAAAGGGAACAACTCTGACGTCGGAGGATTTGCCTTGTATTGTGTGCCATATAAAAGACATTTGATCAATAGATGAAGAATCTTGAAAATATTAAGGTATCATTGCATCCTTTTGACATTTTGATGAAATCAAATCATCCAAAAACTATAATCAGTGCTGCAGATAAAGAAAGCCTAAAATTTGTTTCTAACAAGCCAACTGTTACTTTTTTCTTTTTTCAATTAATTAGTGGACTGTGTTTAATCATGAGATATAGTCATGTTATGTTCCATGTTCTGGGTTATGTGCAACTTTATTTGTGAAGGTGTGTTTTGTACCAAAGGCTCTCATACATAGATTAGCCCATTTACATATAAATAAGTGAGGTCTACACTGTGCCCAAATAAATGGTATTAAAGACAGACTTGCCTAAAAGAAATGTGCCTTGCTTGATTAAACATTATTTTATTTTTTATTCAAAATGATAGATTTTCAAATTAGTGTTATAGGTTTTAGCTGAGATAAACTTTACAAAAATATATGACTACTTATTACGTTTTAGTATTCCATCTTAATTAAAATTATAACAGTTATGCTTTCAACAGTTCATATGTAATATGTTCATTTCATTTTGTTTTCATGTGATGTTTGGTGTGGTGCAACAAAGCACATTTTTAAATATAATATTTCATCCAATGTTTATAACTTTTCCTTCAAAATTGTAAATGTAAAAGTTTCCTTAACTCATTTTCTATTTTTATATTCTTTTAGAAATGGAACTCTTTTTCAATTAAAGACAAGTTTTAGTTGGAAAAGAGATTTAGGAGGTCATGAAGATGGTTTCCCTTTTGGGGACATTTCACTTCTGTGCCATTAATGTATTTTACTGTGACATTTCAGCAGAATGGTAGCTATTTGTATATTATTTCATAAGCCTTATGGAAAGTCAAACTGTGAAATTTTATTATATAGAGGACTTTTTATTTCCATATTTTAGTTTCAAAATATATCTGAACAAATGCATAAATAACCAATCTTCTGTTATTTAAGTGTATAACAATGCTATGTGATAATGAGAGCACTTGTAGAATTTTAATTACTATAAAAACATTTCAGTAGCAAAGCCAAGATTATAAATTTTTTGATGCCCCACAGAATGGAATACAAGTGATGAATTGCACTGTATGAGAATCAGTAACTAAAACAATCTTATACTTGCAGCAAGACAGACAGATAAACACGAGATACAATCTAGGTAACTTTCTTTGAGGCAAAGTCTACAATGAATTTCTCACAATCTGCTGGTAATTGCTTTGTGTCAAAACTTTGAGACCAGATCACTACAGGAAAATAAAAGTCTGACAGCTATCTCAGGTTTGAGCAATGTGAACCTTTAGTCAAGATGATATGTGATTAAAGTGAAAATATAGCCACTACCTTTTCTTTGTTCCATGTTAGCCCATTTAGTAGAGACATTGGCCTGGAGAATAGTCAGTCCATTGCAGCCAACTAATCCTTGTAACTAATTATTACAGCCTGGATAGCAGCAAAGTAATCCACATCAGCTATTGGGATGATTGAAACAAACTGATCAACTGTGTTACAGGAGGTTTTAGACATACCGATGTTTTAATAAGGATCACTAGGTGTTACAAAAATAGACACAAAAATTACCTTTATAAAACACCAATGGCACAACTGTATGCATTATAGTATATTTAAGATCTGAATTATTATTACAGGTTACAGTTTTAAATAAAGACAAAGCCCAGATTTTTATGATAAAAGTACAGGATGGTGTCAGATGAGTAAACTGTCATACTGAATATGGTTCACAGAATGGATAGTAAAAATGGTACTGGTTTAGATAACAGTAGACCAGAATTCTCATCTACTTTCTACCTGTGGGACCCTAGGTAAATCAGTTACATTACTAGGCTTCAGCTTGCAGGCTTAAATTGTAAGATGAGTGTGCTGGATTCAGTGATCTCCAAAACCCTTACCAGCCCCCAAATTCTCATTATACACATTTGAGAAATGCTTTGAAGAAAACTTAGGGCTGGGTGCAGTGGCTCATGCCTGTAATCCCAGCACTTTGGGAGGCCAAGGCGGGTGGATCACTAGGTCAGGAGTTTGAGACCAGCCTGGCCAACATAGTGAAACTCCGTCTCTACTAAAAATACAAAAATTAGCTGGGCATGATGGTGCATGCCTGTAGTCCCAGCTACTTGGGAGGCTGAGGCAGGAGATTTGCTTGAACACGGGAGGTGGAGGTTGCAATGAGCCGAGATTGTGCCACTGAACTCCAGCTTAGGCAACAGAGGGAGACTTCATATAAAAAAAAAAAAAAAAAAAAAAAAAAGAGAAAAGAAAAGTACACAGATTTTCTTATGCAGGAAAGAATACATGAAGTAAGATTTAAGCCTTGAAAGTGTCATAAATATATCATTCTTCAAATTGATTGTGAGAAAAGGAAATAGGACTCTTTCTTCTTAGAATTTTCACTGATCTGTAATGGTATCAAAAAAGTAGAAAAATCAGTCTGTGGAATGGAAACAGATTAATTAAATAGCTAGAAAGGAGGGAAGGGCATTTGTTTAATTAAATATTAAGGCAACTTGAAAATTTTCTATGAAATGCTAAAACAGTGCCAGAGCCTTATTGCACACTCAACATTTTAAGCCTGAGAGCAGGGAAATGTGGGAAAAGGTTGGAAGGAAAGAAGTGTTTGCTTTATGATCTCTTGACTCCTTTTACACAAGAAGCAGATTGGTAGAGCTTAAGCAGGTGTCTGTGCTGTGGTGCTGGCTCTGCCAAAAACTCTCATGTGCCCTAGGAAAGTTCCTTTAACTTCTCTGAGCCCGAGTTTCTTTATCTGTAAAGTGAAGACTTTTTAAATTTAGTAATCTGTATGTCTCTTTTCATCTCTGAGAATTCTATAACATTTTCAGATTGTTATATGTGTACATGTACATGTTGCTCACCTCTGTTCACTAAAATGCCACATATTTCTACTTGAGTGACTGAACAGATTGCAAGTCCAAATGTTCTCGTTTCTAATAATAATAATTGACCTCAGCAAGACATATAAAAGGTAAATCTTTTTATTTTGACTTTGGCTTTAAGCTATTATGATTTGTCATTTCATCTTTGAATGCTGAGTGAGTTACCTAAACAGAATGTCTGTTCCAGTTAATCTTCTCTTTAAATTTTGTTGTTTTATAAACATGTAGCAAATCAGAAGCAAGTATATTATGCTTATCAATGAACTGTAGCAGATTGTAAGGTGCATTTTTGTCACATTAAAAACTTAATGCTCTTTTGGTCCCAGAAGAAATGACTGTAATTTAAAATAATAGTCACAAAATTTTGTGAATGTTTTTGAATACAAAGGAGGCCTGATAGAGCCATATTGCAATTCATTTTGCTCAGGAGTGAGAAACAAAATTCAGGGATAACCCAAACACATCTGTTTGGCAATAGTGGATAGTTAGGTAAAGAAGGGTTTTAGCTTTTGCACAACATAGGTAAGAGGCAACTGTACCTATTGAAAAATAGGAGTATATTCTGGTTCCTGGTTTTATGACAGAAAGATATTAGAAGGATACTAAAATGTGGACACTCGGGAAATTGATTAATACAGAAATATTTTGTCATACTGAGATTATTTGTCCAGAAGTTTAGTCTTATATCCCTTCCATTCAGAAAAGGGGGCAGTTTTTAAAGGCCTCTATCATAATAGGAAGTGTGTATTTTGACTAGTGGAGCAATTAATTAAAACATTTAATCTGATCATTTTGGTTTTATGAATCTGAATTTTCACTTTAGGTGTAATTGAATCACTTATGTATTACTGTGATCTTTGTGAGAAGTGATTTTGTCCATTTTTTTAAAGTTGATGAAACTTGATAAATGGTGATTCTAGCATATTGTATTAATATTGTATCTTACAATAATTTGTGAACTGGCCATCCTGAACAAATCATAGCGGTATGTCTTCTGGTAAATTGTTTCTATGGTGTGATCTCTTAATGCTGTGTTTGGGGGTGGGGGTGGGGTTAAGTATTTAGTTTAAACTATCAAAGTGTTTTTCTTAAATGCCATAAAATGTATGACTATAAACCAAATAAGAATATCCTCTTTTTTTCACTTTTAAGGGCACTATAGAGACCATTATGAAACTATCCCACAGAATGGTATAATTTATGTTTAAAAGCTCTTAGACACATATACACACACAAATATATATATATATATATATATATATACACACACACACACATGTGCAAGGGGAAGCAGTTTATGTAGTATTTCTAGGTGTTATGCTACATATTGTAATAATTATTTTTGAAATATATAGATTACACAGAAGTCAGACTAACAAATACAACACCTCAATTTTTTCATAGAGTCTAGCATTCGTTTACTTATAAGATTTGCTTATCATACTTTGCAAAGATCATTCACATAATTAATCTTTAAAATATTCATATGAAATACTAATGTCCTCTGAAATTTAAAGATTAAACAACCAAGGTTTAGAAAGATCCAGTGACTAGTCTAGAATAATATGGCCACTAACCTCATATGCTCTTTACACTATTCACCTTTTGTCATGTTATTTTTATCCTGTCACTGCTATTATCTTTAAAGCTTTAACAAAAAAATTTTAAAACATACATTGGGAATTTTCCAATTTTAGTTCAAAGACATTGTTGCTGTTCTTGTCAGACCTTTTTAGATACTTTCAGACTATAGTTCTTCCACAGAGTGATATTCAAACATTTTCTACCTAAAACGTACACCCTGACCACAGACACTGAATTCACTTGATATCAGAATCCTAGACTAAAAATTGGTCTTGACTGCCATTCCTAATCTCGCTTTACAAAAATCCATCATAATGACTGATTTCTGAACAGTTGAATAAAGCAGTAATCAACCCAAGAAACTGCATCCATTCTAATTCAGAGGACAAAAAATCAGATCCACCCTAGTAACCATTTTTCAGCATATTTCATCACATTTATTCTGTGATTAGTGAAGGACAGAGAAGAGGAACTGGGGAGAAAAACTGCCTTTAAGAAAAGTCATTTCCTATAACTATTCAAAAAGAATTAATTATCAAGTATTAGATAACAATATTACTTTTATCATAGTTCAAATATTTAGTAAAATGTATCCACATATTTTAAATTTTACTAAAGAATGTTCCCAGTTACAATCTAATGACTGCTTAGTTTGAATAAGAAAGACATTCATGTTTCAATTCATGACACAGTATTACATTTTTATTCCTTTCTCAGACAACAGAGAGACACTGTTACTGCTTTCCCTTGTAAGTCAACAGTCTGTATGCTGTACTTTTACTGATTAGCAATGCAATGTTACTGTGAATATTTAAATAGAACTTATTATATTGGAATTTAAAATTTTCTAACATTGAATTTAGTTCTCTTCATCAAATAAGTCAAGCAAGTATTATTTTGTATGAAATGAAATATTCTTAAGCAGTGATAATAATGGAATTCTGAATAAGATGTAAAATCAAACATATTCTATTTTTTTCTATGTTTATCCTTTGTCATTGAGTTGTTTTAACTTAATACATATTATTGTTAAGTTGAAATAAGCTTTATACTATATTCTCTGATGTTCTTGTCATAATCATTTTGGGCCTTTTGTTAAGTAAATCTCAGAAAATACCTGTGAGTTTTGATTATGTAATATTTTCATCTGATTCATTTTTAAAATTTGTCATTGGATTTAAAATGTTTTCTTTGCCAATGTTATATGCAGAATTCAATAAAAGATGAAAAAAATCCTATTGCGCATATTGCTAATTAGTTCCAAATGACTTCCTTCTCCTTTCTTTCCATTCTTCCTTCATCCCTTCCTTTCTTTACTTGTTTTCTTTTTGTAAAAGAGGAATCATCAGAAGTCGGACTGTTGTCAGTAGCTCAAGCATCAGCTGCCCTTGAGACTAACCCCGCAGACTCTTGTGTATTCTCCCAGATGACTATAGTGAAGACGTCTGTGTTTTACACTTAGCAAGCCCTTTGAATGCCAACATTCCCTAGGTTTCTTCCATTGCTCCCTATCTTATACTGCTGGAGGCCCAATAAAGTCTCAAGGAAGGCAAAACTTATTCACAATAGTCTGTGCCATTATGCTTTGTGCTAGTTATATAAGTATAAATTATGGCACAGGAAATGTACATTATTTCATTTACAAATACGTATTGGACATCCAGTGTGTGCGCTGCCCTGTTCACAGCACTGTCAGGGGGTATCAATGTCAGTATGTAGGTGACCCTGTATATATACACATATATATATATATGCATACATACATACACACCCAAGCTAGTAGGTTAGGATCCTCTTTAGATCCAGAATGGTCAAATATTAAATAAGAACATTTTGTTTTAAATATTAATTTTCTATGTATGCCCAATGTCTTTGTATCATAAGAGAGAATAATTTCTAGCAATCACCCTGTACATACCCATTGTTCTTATTTTGTGCTTAGCAATGTTGAATCTAATGCTTTTTCTTTTTCCCAATAACAGCTAGTTACTCAAATGTGTTTGTACTTTTGAAATGTCAACAAATGATACATCACCAAAACAGAGGCCCTCTCTTGTTTCCATCTGGAATTTTACTTTGTCTGTAAAAACTAAGTGCAGATTTAGATGGCTTTACACATGTGGTGATTAGCTATTAGAGAAAAGAACAAAACATATTTTTCTAATCCTCCAGTTGACATGAGAAATGACTTTTTAAGCTTTCTGGTCATAGAATTTTGGTGATGAACTCCATAAGTGACAATTTGTTAAGTTTTTTGGTTTGGTTGGTTTTTTTGAGAGGGAGTCTCGTTCTGTTGCCTAAGCTGGAGTGCAGTGGCATGATCTCGGCTCACTACAACCTCTGCGTCCCAGGTTCAAGCGATTCTCCTACCTCAGCCTCCTGAGTAGCTGGGACCACAGGCGGTGTGCCACCACACCCAGCTAATTTTTGTATTTTTAGTAGAGATGGGGTTTCACCATTTTGGCCAAGCTGGTCTTGAACTTCTGACTTCAGGTGATCCACCCACCTGAGTCTCCCAAAGTGCTAGGATTACAGGTGTGAGCCACCACACCAGGCCTGAAGTATTTTGTTTTAAGGGACCAAATCTTTAAGTCATTTGGAAACAATCACAGAGTAAATTAAGAGATGCAGGTTGTTTCCAAGGGATTATCAATATCTCTTTGAACCATGCCTCCATCCAAAAGAATTCAAACTTTTCTGCTGGATTTCAGCAGAAACAAATTAGTACATAATTATTGCTGTACACCTCCTATGAATTAGGACCCACTCAATTATCCATTCACTTTTCTGTACTTTCCTTTGTACTAAAACCCTTATCAATTTTGCGACTTTCTCTCCCTTAGATCTACTATTTATAGCTTTCATTAATCATAGTCAAAATTGGTTACTTAATTTTGTTTCAAAAAATTCTTTTTACATTCAATAATATCTGATAAATTGAGTCATAGAGCACAAGACTATATCATAGAATTAGAAAAGCCAAATGAGGAACTAAAACTCCAGTGACAATACTGTCTTAAAATATAAGGTCAGTAAAGTCGCTTGTTTGAAAATGGAGCCACAAGAGAAAAAACAAATAGAAATCTGATTTCAAAACATACAATTGACAAGAAAATGAATAAACGTGGCACAGTCCCTCACCCATGCCTGGTCTGATTTGGCATAATAAATGCTTCTAAATGAAGATGAACACAAATTGATTCATAGGCACTATTTATTAACCTACAATGTAGATGCCAGGTATTGCTAGTTTATACCCATTATGCCAGCCATGAAAACAGACAGCTGTTTCCATATAACCTGAATCTAAAAGCAATCAGAGACAGCATGATGTAAGTTAGCCAGAGGGCCTAATAGGAATCTGGAATCTGGAATAAATGATGATCAATATACCTTAAGTCTAGTTTTCATTTACCTCTATAGAGAAGCTGAGGAATTCAGCAGAGGAAAATGCTTGTGTTGTGTCTTAATTTGTGGCAACAGAGATGGAAATAAGACAGAGGAAAGTGACATTCATAAATGTGGATGAAAATTTCTGAAGTAGAGTTAAATTTTGCCTTTATTCCTGGAGGCAATTTATAAGGCTGTTTGAACTTTGTATGTCCTAGTCTCAAGAAAGTATTGAATTTGTGATTTTAACATGCTCCTCCCTGCAGGCACTTTCCATGCCAGTAGGAATGCTCTGCACTATCAGGCCAAGCTCTCAGCATGCGTAGTAGCCAAGAAAAAAACCTAGCAAACAGAACTCTAGGGGCATGCCATACATGTATGTAGAGTTAGAAAAGATTAGACAGCTCTACAGGGCATCCCTGAGAGGCAGCCCTCATTCTCAGAATGTCTGGAATATACATTAATGGGGCATTATATCTGTACTGTGCTTTCTAATATTTATAATATTTTAAGTATATACATATATAGTTCAAAGCAACTTTATATACTTACATATGTGTGTGTATATATACACACACGCATATATATATTCTGTGAAATAGGCGGAGAAGGTAGCATCATACACTTTTTATAAAAGAAAAAACTGGATGCACAGTTATGCAATTTACCTAAGGTCATGTGGTCAGTAAACGTCAGAAAGTGACTAGAATACAAGGTTTTCTGACTCCTGATCTGCAGTTCTTCCTGTATAGCCACATTTCCCTTTCCCCAACACCCCTCTCATCTCAAATTCTGTCTTCCCTAAGAAGTGAAGAAACTGAGAGTATTATTATCAGAAAATCTCAAAGAAGAGCAGAATAAAGCCCTTGCTGTTACATTTGTCTCATACCATGTTCACATCCTGCCTCAGCAAGCCTCAAGATCCAATCCCCTTAAACTTAAAGTGAGACACCAAGATAAATAAAAACCCAAGCTCCGCAAACTAAATCAACCACCATTCCCTTAGTCTATTCATTTATTCTTTCAAAAATATTTGAGTAGCTCTTATATGCAATTTCTCCTTCTCAGTGGAAAAGTTATCCCAATCTCTGTGGCTCCAGCCCATCCTGTTCAACCTCCTTCAGAACTTGACTGCATTAAATATTGTCTGCCTTTTCCTTATCCTCAGTATCTCCCCACCTCAAAATCTATGATCAGTAGATGTGTTTCCTTGACCATTATTAGCTCTATTTGCTCCCTTCCACTCAAAGCCAAACTCCTTAAAAAGAAGTCATCTCTACTTCCTGACCACTCATTTATTTGACATTCTGCTATATGGTTACCCCTCTGTAATCTGGCTTCTGTCTCCACTTCTGCACTGAACATTTACTTAATACTAGTTTCTTTGTCATACATCAATTCTCAACCTCCCCAACTCTGTAGAATTTGACACTGTTGACCCCTCCCTCCTTCCTGACTTTGAAATCTTCTTCTTATCTCTTTTTCCATCCCCTCTCAGTCACTTTCACTGACTTGTCTTCCTCACCACTTTTTAAATACTGCTACTCCCCAAGATTCTGATCTCAGGCCTCACTTTTTCTCAGAGCCAACACTTTCCCTAGGTAATTTCATCCAATATCTTACTTTTAATTACTTCCCCAAATTTTTATCTCCAGTCCAGAGCTATAACCCGAGTGCTATTCTTACCATATTCCAGGTACCAGTCACTTTCTCAGCCAACAATTTCTGCCCTGTTCACCTTTGAACCTGCCAACCCACAGCCTAGAAGGGACAGTCCTAAAACCCACGTCAGCCCATTCTCTGTCCACGGGTGGTCACCTAACCCAACTGGACCAGGTGATTCTCTCTCCTTCAAATTTCAATTGAGACTTGGAGACTTAGAAGTAGAAACAATTAGGCAAAGAGCTCTGAAGTTTTTATGATAGCAACCCTAAGTCCATGTAGTTTATATTCTGGAGAAGTAGTAATGAAGCCTAGCAGAGAAGCAAAAAGAAGA